ACCGAGCCTGGTGCCGCGCCCGACAGCCCTCGCCCGCCTTCCAGCCTCTGCAGCAGCCCCGGCTCCTTCCCGCCCGACAGCCTGCAAGCCTTCCCCGGCCTCGACTCGCCCAGCATCCAGTGTGACAGCCTGGAGTGTGCCGCCTGCTCGTGCTGCTGCTGCCGGAGCGCGGGCTCGGCCGGAGCCAGCGAGGACAGCCTGCAGGCCCCTCTCGCCCGGGGCTCCGGCTCACGGTGCTTCGGCGCTCACCGCGCCTCCAGCGACCTCTCCGACAGCCTGGAGTCCTTCATCCAGCACGACAGCCTCCAGTCGCTCTCCAGCCTGGGGGTGAGCTCCTCCAGTATCAGCGGTGATAGCCTTGAATCCCTTTCCAGCCTGAGTCTGGGGACCACCAGCGATCTCGAGCTCATCGGCCACTGAGTCTGCCTTCAGCTTCCCGCACAACGCCTTACTGCTGGCTCTGCCAGCTGCCCTGAGAGCTGCCAGGCTTCTGCCCTTCCTTCCAAGGTGTCGTTGTTCCAGGTGATCCTTGCTGCATCCAGTGCAATAACCTCGGACCTTACTGTGGCTGACATTCTCAAATAAAGTGATCCAGAGGGATAGTGTTCATTATTAGCTGCAGTGTTAACGTTGATTTTTTGTCAGCAGTTAAGAATGGAAGTGCGTGGTCCTCCGAGGAATCCCAGCTACCTCTCCGATCTCTATGAGAACATGTTAAGGGCTGAAGGAGCAATGAGACGAGGGCAGCAGCAGCCCCCAGCAGACCATACAAGTAGCAACAAGACTTTTCGGAGCAGTGCCCCAGCCAAGGAGAGCCCCCAGCCAAATAATCATCCGAACAGCGCCTCCTCCAGCTGTGACCCAGCCCTGAGACCCATCATCCGCCGCCGAGCGAGGTCCCTGCCAACATCACCAGAGAGGAGGAAGAGAGCAGCAGTGCAGTGTCAGAAGCCCAGCTTCCAGAGCCGCATGAACCGGGTCAGGTTTGCTGATGCTTTAGGCTTGGAGCTCACTGAAGTGAAAGTCTTCCAGACTGGGGAGGATCCATCCATCCCTTTGCACGTCCTGTCCAGGCTCTCCATAAACTCAGACCTCTGGTACAGCAACTTGAACTTGGAATTCAGTATGCAATGTTTGGTCCCTGACTTCCAGCAGCCTGCAGATTGTCTGGATTTCTCATCCCGACTCCAGGAGCAGCAGGTGTGTCTGGAACGGGTGACCAGCTCAGATCTGGGGCTCAGTGGCACCATCCAGGTTCGGAATGTTGCTTTTGAGAAGCAGGTGTCTGTGCGCTACACCTTCAACCAGTGGGAAAGCATCCACGAGGTGTGTGCTCGTTGGGACTGCAGCATCCCAGAGAAAAACGGGCAGGATCAGGTTGATGTGTTCACTTTCTTTCTTCCTGTGCCTCCTTTTCTCCTTCAGCTAAGCACTCTTGTCCAGTTTGCAGCAAGGTACCAAGTCAATGGCCAAGAGTACTGGGATAACAACAGAGGCAAGAACTACACCCTCAGCTGTCAGACTCACCCCCTGAAGATGCCAAGGGAATGTGAGGAGAGCTGGATCCACTTCATCTGAACAAAGGCAGTGGTGCTGAGCAGCTGTCTGTGGCCTTGGTGGCACTCTGTCCCTTGGCATGGCTCTCTGCTCCTATGGAAACGGTCTTCTTTTTGAAACCTGCCAAACCTGGCCAAGTGTCCCAGGGCTGAGAAGCAGCCTGTGGGTGGCCTGTACAAACTGCTCTAAACCTCTAGGAAAGTTTAAAAGGCCAAAATCTGTAGTGAGATACAATCATAGAAAAGCCATGTGAGTTTTTTGAGTGCATGAGTCATTGCAAAATGGTTCCCAGGAATGCTGTGAGGCTACCAGAGGGCAAAACAACATGTTTCTTGTTGCTAGTGATACTCTTGGTTGCATAGAACGTTTCTAACAGATCTCTCTTACCATTTTCTACTGTTTGTTTTCTAAGTGGACAGTGTGGCTTTACTGGTTTTGTTTCTAATTTTGTTTATATTACTTCACCAAATCAGGGCACTATTCCATTTATGCATAGTTTGGATGACAGACACTGTAGGGAGTACTTGTATTTATATACATAGGTTATTAAGGCTGTAACCACATTAAATATTTCCAGTATCTGAGTTGGAAATTAAATGCTACTGTGAGCAAAATGTACATGAAAATGTGCCATCAGCCCCTCTGTTTCTTTTACTTGGCAAAAAAAATGGCAAAAAAAATGAAAGGTGCCTTTTCTTATCTCCTCCTTGCAGCAGATGTGATTGTTACCAATGTTTGTGTGAGGCAGATCTGCCTGGGGAAATTCTCACCTTTGTCTATTGATGCCCAAGTAGGTTTTTCTCAAGGTGGTGGTACAAGAACTCTCTTTTCCTGATGCACCTGCTTTTACTAAGGGAAAAGGATCAATTTTTGATTTGTGTTGCGAATGCAGTTGAAGGTCTCAAAACACTGTATGAATGCTTATGATTTTATCACTGTTACTGGTAAAATTATAGATTAAGAAATTGATATCACATAAATATATATATAAGGAAAAGAAATAGTACAGGGAGTGGGGTACAGAGGCTTGGAATAGCATTCAGAAGTCTGAATCACAGTTGTTCCCCAGTGTTCCAGAACTACTGCAGAAGTAGCTTTGACTTAGTTATTTAGCTGCTTGCCATTGTAAAACAGTTGAACTCCCAAGACTGCAGCCTTTGCAACACAAACAGCAACTTGAAAGCACTTAATTTGGTAAACTGCTACTTCCACAGACTCATAAACAGAATCCCTTCTGCTGCAGGGAGAGCACAGGAACACTGTTAGACCATCTTCCCGTGCTTCTTGCTCTATTGTTTTTGTTCTGTGCTTTTAGTGTGGTTTAAGATTTGCATTCTGGGGAAGACTGTCATGTGCTAGTAAATGTCAGACCTGAGTGTCCCCTTGGCCAGATTTTGTAAAGCTGAGGCTGTCAGGAGAAAGGTTCATGCCAGATATAGCGCAGTGTGAGAGGGGCGGAGAAATGAATGTCTCAGCAGTCTGACTTGGGCTTCTGCTGTCTTCCTTCCACAATCTCTCTGGGTATTGGCATGTGCAAGGTCTTGAATACTAACTACTGAAGCATTATTCCAAGTTTCCTTTTGCTCTCTGTGCTGGTCTGCACTGCTGAGGAAGATCTGACAGTTCAGTTCCTGCCAGTGCAGTTCTCTGGCACTGCTGGCTCAGTGGAGCAGTGGAGCTGAGAGCCTTCTCCAGGTTAAGCTGCTAAACCTTCACACCAGTACTGGTGCCTATCACAGCAGAGCTGGTATTTGCACTTAGGTTTCCTTGCCACACTCAGTAATAAACATCAAATGGCTTCTGGTTGACAAAAATGGGATTAAGCCATTTAGTGCTAATATGCACCTGTTGTGAGGGTAAACTTACACCACATTTATATCTTCTCAGGACAACTTGACTACTTGCACTGTGTTCAAATTGAGCACTTCCCTTATAATGAGGTTTTTCAAAAGTGAATTCTTCCACAAGGATTATCACCATATAATGCACTTTTAAAAACATGTATTTATTATTGTCATACAGTAAATGAATGTCTAGTAGTCCACAGTTTAAAGGTTCTTTCAAGCATGTTTTTTTAAAGAAACATGAAATCCATGTAAATAAAAAGGGGTTGTACATTACACAGTATAACAATGAAGCACATATGCTGGACAAAAGGTCCAGCAGTTGTAAAATTGCAAAGTGCTTAATTAATTTTAAAAAGCAATAATAAAACTATGGCTATTGTAATACAGAAGATTGAAATAAAAGCTTTTCAAAATTTTCTGTTGTTTCAGTCAATGGTAGTCGTGTTAAGAAAGCTCATGAAGAAACTTAATGTCAAGTTGTCACAGAGTAACATACTCTGGAAAAGTAATGTGGGTTTGAGTTACTAAAGGATGTACAGGATATAAAGATACATGATGAGTGCATGTATCTGCAAAGATGATGGAGCTGCCACCTCTTACATGGAATCTGTTGTCCTTTCACCTCAAAGTTCTGTGCCTGCAGCACCTGCAGGATTGAGATCCAATTCTGGAAAAAGGCTTGCTGCCACTTGATTCTGGGAAGGGGAGGGGAGGGAAGGGAAAAATCTGTTTAAATACTTGGGCATGTCTGTATTAAGTTGTTCAAAAATGTAAGGTTTTATTTAAGAAAATGATAATTTTTTTCTGCAAACATCCAGCTATCAGGTTTATCTTACAGGTTGTTAGTGTTACTTTTAGTATAGCTGGTATTTTTACATTTAGTTTCAAACTCATAGTTTATTTATTTTACAAAGAAAAAATTAAATTGCAAGTTGTAATCACAGTAATATGCATCTGCAGTCAGTAACTACAGCACTTAATGTAGTGTATCATCAGTTGTACTTTACAGCTGGTAAAGACTTGGAACTGCAAGTCAAAGTGATTATTCATTTGGCAACAGGAGTCTAACGTTAGGGCTGACTTCTTTCACAACTTCTCTCTCCCTGTGATCTCAGATGTACAAGTATTTCAGCTGATACTTGATATTCAAACTGCTGGTATCAACACTTCTGACCCTTCACCACAACAGCAGCTGTCCCAGAGATTGAAAATACCTTGGCTGGCACAATGTCTTTAATTAACTGTAGTAAGTATAAATATTTATTGTAGTGAATAAGAGTCTCTGTAAATAGTGCTACCCTACCCTAAAGAGATTTGGTTCCATTTTCTCTGGTGTTTTTACACGTGCCTGAAATGACTGTGGCCAAATAATTTCACTGTTGGTTCTGGTCTGTTTAATGCATAACTCAATGAAACTTCTCTCTGACTTCCCTTCTGCTAAACCAAACAAAATAGACTAATGTTACAGAATGAGAAATGAGCTGAAGTAATCTCGGCGTAGATTGCAGGAAGGAAAGTGCGTGATTCACTTCTGGAATGTCTCACTTCTCTTTTGCTGTAGAATGAGTAAGGCTGGACAGGCTCAGCCTCTGTGTTTGCTCATGTGACTGGTAAGGGAAAGCATCAACTTCAAATTGGCTTTGATTATTTCTGCTTTGTATGGTGAAAGTACAATTCAGGATTCAGTTTTCATAGAAAACTTCTGATGCTCCAAGTTCCTCATGCAGAATTTTGTCCTTAGGAGGTTTCTCAGTATAGCTGTTTTACAATCTGCTTCAGCACTGCTCACTCCCAGCTCCTCAGTGCAGATACTCCACTTCTCACACCACTTGTCATTTTCTTGCATTACAGTGACATCTCGTGGTATTTTAAATACTTTCTCTGCAGGTTTTTCAGGGTCTTTTTTTGGGGTTTTTTTCTTCTTTTTTCTTTTATAGTATTGAGTTTTTACCCTTCTTATTTCAAGGAATCAGCAGTTTTATTTTATTTACAATTTTTCTGCAGGTTTACCTGCTGTGAAAGGTGACTTCTCTCCTAGATGCTCCACTATTGCTGCTTATTCCAGGTATGAATGAAAACACTTCTCGATACTCTTTTGGAGTATGATAAATTTTATCATCTGTATTTATAAATATGACAATAGATACACCAGTACCACACCAGTACAGGTTAAGTTCCTCTTTGGCAATGTCGTATTCCATTTAAACACACTATCCAGTACTGCTGGATTCCATTTAAGCACATTATCCAGTGCACTGCTGGATTCTATTTAAGCACATTATCCAGTGCACTGCTGGATTCCACTGGAGCACATTATCCAGTTCCCTCTGCAAAATAAAGGCCACAGACACCAGCCGAAGCCCTTTGCCCACAGCACGTCTGTAACCGAGCGTGTCTTTGCGCTTACTCGGACAGTGAAAACGTTTCGAAATTAAGCATAGGACTGGATTGCAGTGGTTTAGCAAGTTCTACCCAGTAATTTCTATGTGTGCGCGGAAATTGGTTCTAAACAGCTGTAGAAAAGGCACTTGGTGGCGCGAAGGCAGCGCCCGCCGCGCTGAGGGCGCGCAGCGCCGCCCCCCGCCATTGGC